GACTTAGACGATCCAACGACCCCTCGATAGCCCGACGGTTCGATCACGAGACCGCCGTTGGGAGGGCTAGGATGTCTTGCATGCGCGGATGATGTTAACATGCGCTCTCCCTCGCATGGCAGAAACCTTGAAAATGGCAGGTGGTATGATAAGGAAGCCTACCACTGGGAATGTCCGAGCTGTAAGCAGAAATACGGCCAGAACAAGCCTGGGCACGTACGGAGACCAGGCAAATTCAAGTTTGCCAAGCCATGGAAGCTGCCCGACATTCACGGACAGGTACCGCCAGCTCCTGCCGAACCAGCAGCACCACCACCCGAGGCACAACCCGCACCACCACTTGTGCGGCTACGAGCACCAAGACCAGGCTCTAGAGCCGGACCCGCAGCCGGTGCCAGCAGCCACGACATTACAGTAGGCAGACATGCTGCTGAACCTGGTGCAGGGCAACCTGCCTCGAGTGGAGCTGGGAGTTCGGATGGCCGCATCCGACTGCCACAGGTCAAAGTCAGACGTGGCCGACAGCGAGGGGGATATCCACCTCCACCGCCACCTGCGGGTAACTCGTTACATTTGCCTTGGTTCCATTTGAAAGAGCCTAAGAACATATTCATTTTAACCAAGATAGGTCTGCGCAGCGTCAGACTCAATCTGATTAGCGGTGTCTGCGACGCATGTCGGACGTGCAGGGCTTGGGACAAGCCTGGGCATGCGGTTATGCCATCTATTGCACTGCCTGGCAAGTTAAACGAAGAAGTTGAAGGTGACCTTATGTTCTACAAACAAGAACATTATATATTTCATAGCAGTTGTATTCGCTATGGAGATACCAGGCAAGACGATGACCGGTATCCTGGATGTGTACCATCAGTGCTGGATGCAGTTTGGGCTCGCAAAGGTACTCTACTCCGATGGAGAGGGTGCCCTCAACAGGGACGCGTCGAATGCAGTCCTTAGGGCAAAGGGCACTGAATTAAGGATGCGTGCGCGTGGACAACGCGCTACGACGACCGCAGCCAGAAATGGCAGACTGCGCCATCTACTTCATGTCGTGGGAGCTGAACTCAACAGGTTAGACATGCCTCTTGTGTTCACACGACTACTGGAAGCCCTGTTTGCCGCCAGCGCCTTCACTTTCTATATTGAGGTGTCTCCATGCAGCGCCCTGTTTGGACGGCAGCCAGCAATGCTCCCTGACTTGCCAATCCTGGGTCACGAACAGCCGACGGGAACGTCGGATCATTCTCGTGAACAGATAATACGCAAGGTACGCAATGCAGCTATCAGACAGGCCACTGCAGCAGCCAAGACCAATCGTGCATTGCGCACTGAGACAACTATCACCTGGTCAGCACTACTACGATGAAGGAGATGTAGTTGATTACCATCGCCCCACAACCGCGAAGGACGACTGGGGAGGCTGGAATGGCCCATTCCCGGTCGTAAGAAGCGATCCCGACAGGGGTCAAGTCATCATTCGAGTGGGAAGCCGCGACGTTCAGGTACAATCAGGCGATCCACGACATTCACTCTATACTGAAGCTTTGATAGCCAGAGAGGTCGGCTCCGACAACGCCGCTCTACTGATAGTGCTGACGTTCGCGGCCAGTTTATTTGCGGGGGGACATGCTATGACATTTGGCTATGTCCCGACCAAGAAGGGGATGCTTCAGATGACACGTGCAAGCCGACTATCTCCTAGCGTACAGCTGGCTTTACAATACCTCATCAGAAACTTCTTCCGCGTTGAAAACGTAGTTTCGGTCGGGTTAGCCAGGAATATCCACAGGCTACCTCCAGTGGCTTACGCTGATAGTTGCACATTGGTCCACGGACAACGATGTGAATCCAGGGTTTCACTACTACGAAGCAGAAGGCACCGCTCTTAACATTCACGATATATCTGGATCAGCATCAAGAATCATCCAGTGCCTGAAGTCCGCCACACCTCCAGCGGGCTTCGACCAGGATATGAACAAAGTTTGAGGAATTGGCGGATGCACCGGAACTGGACGGAATCGCAAGAGAAGCCCCAGAAGCCGAACCACCGCAGGAGGATGGACGGCTTCTCACGATATATGAGGAATCGGAGGCTGACCTCGAGGCACATATTTCGGAAGTGTGGTGTACAGAACGACAAGATGAAAGGGAACCAGTGGAAGCCACTCCATTAGAGGATCTTTTCGCAGTGCCCACGCAGATGATTCCAGACAAGAGTGTGCTGATCACTGTAGCTGAAGAACAGCGGGGACACCTGCCTAAGTGGAGACACCTACGCGACTCCGCCATCGAGGAGGCGTAGCATGTCCCGTTGTGCTCCGCGGTCGGAGATTGCAGTTGCGGGCAGGACTCAAACGATAATGGACAATATGTAGAGCTCTGCTTTACGGCAGGAAGGTCATAGGTAGCCCTGTCCGAATTGCAGCGCAGGATCGTAGATGCCGGCCGCGAGACCACCATGCGAGTGCATGTTGCCGCCGCTGCAAAGCGAGCTGCGGTCGTCAAGGAAGACGACCTCCTCGCGAAGGCTGACATCCAGGCGACTTCCGAGACTGCGCCGAAAGCCCTATGCATTGCCCTCGAGACATGGTTCGACAGCAAGTGCTTCGAACTGCCAGGTATAGCTAAGGCGTCAAACATCATGAATTCGAGGTGCGGGTGCACATGGAAGTTCGTGAAGAACGAGAAGGGCGAAATGGAACGTATTATCAGATTACGCTTGGTGCTTCGAGGCTTCATGGACCTTGAAGCCTTCGATGTGGAAACCGTTTCGGGAAGAGCACGGTGGTCGAGCCAGAGACGACTCGCGAGCGCGGTAGCGGGCAAGAAGCAATGGACCATTGCTTCCCTCGGCATCAACATGGCCTTCCTGGAAGGGTTGACCTACCAGGAACTTGCTGAGACAACTGGTGAACAAGAATGTGTGGTGTGCTTTACTCTGCCGCCTGGATCGGCCACGGTGCTTCGGACTCTCCCAGGGTTCGAACGCCGCGACGAGCCGAAGCACTGCTTGCAGTGCCTTAAGCCAGGCACTGGCACCAAGGACGCACCTCGAGCTTTCTCACTAGAGCTCAGAAGGACCACAAGTGGTTTCGGTCTCAGACCCACGTCCTACGACGAGGAGTTCGGGGCGAGCAGCAACCTGCTCACGGCCAAACATGTTGATGACACCAAGATGGCCATTGCAGAGGACACCATTGACAAGTGTGTCAAGTGCGTAGAAGACACCTTTGGTAAGTGTAAACTCAACAAGCACACGTGCGCCAATTCTGCTGTGATATGTACCAAGGATGAGGGCGGCGGTGTTACGTTGGACCAAGATGAATCAATCAAACAGCTCCGTCCTATACAGCATCCCGAACTTACAGGTGCCGACGCTGACGCCCAAGCATCCAAGATGGTTGCAGACATTGTCGTCAGCCTTAGAGGCGCATTGGCGTATGCATTAATCACCCTGGCGTGGTTGATGGCGCATGTTGTCTCTCTACAACGTGCCCCAGAACCGTCCGACAGACACGTGCGACGACTGCACGCGATTACCAGGAAAGTGCAGACCTGCCCAGAGAAAATCGTCTACCAGGCGATGGCCCCCACGGGCGAGGTTGACCTGCGCAGCGACTCTGGTTACCGACGCCTGAGTGGAGATGCCGATGACGAAGTCAAAGGCTATGGTATTCGCCGGGCAAACCTGCTACGGCGTGGAAGCGCGCCCTCCGGTAAGCCCGTCGTTCACTGGATCGATGCGCGCTGCAAGTCTCGCCGCTTGCAGGTCCGCGCGAGCTACTCAGCAGAGACACTAGCAGCAGCCCGTAACTTGGAGGACTGTTATCCCACGATCGTGACTCTGCACGAGCTCCACGCAGGGCCGTTAACTCCCAACCAGTTGAAAGACATACTTGAATTGGGCGGCCTCAGCATCAAGGTCACTTTGACCATAGATGCTGAGTCTGTTTGAAATCCTCAAGCAAAGACTTGAATAAGCCGACATAGCGTACCCTTTTAGGACACATCAGCTGAATACGACAGATGATGGAGCGAGGAATCGTGCGCAGCATCCAGTGGTGTGACACCCGCGATATGACCGCGGACGGTCACGCCAAGGAGAGCATCGACAGAGAAATGCTCCTACAGGTCATGGGAGGTACACAATACTTCACATGAATTAAAGCGTCATGCTCCCTATCGGGCTGGCCAGACATCTCGTTCTGTAGCCGCCCGAGGAGTACTTGTATGCACAGTATAGTGCAGACGAGGCAACTTGCGCGCGGGTCCACCTTCCTTACGGCCTCGACCTTTTGTTGCCCTTTTGTTGTAGAAAGTAGCTGCTGTACCTGCTGTTTAGAGGCGGCGGGTTCACGCTTCGTCTCCCTCCCCCCCGACTCTAGAGTGAGCTGGGTGTTTCATGTGAGTGGGAACGAGCGTGCATCCGCGGCTGCTTGGCTCAAAGCGGCCGGCCGCCCATATCTGATTACACCTCAGCGCGAGGTGTACTCTCTGCCATCGATACCAAAACTGCTTGAGATGGCTCGCCCCCTACTACTGGGACTATCGTTACTACGGTACAGCAGAGCGGGAGCTGGGCTTCGCCTGAGGCGAAGCTGCTGGTTGGGCCTCCCAGCCCCTTTCAAACTAACGTGGCCATTTCGGCGCCATCTTGAGCCGTCTTGGAGGAAAACTTGTGCAATTGAGGTCCGTCCCGGGACCCCGGCGGGACGGGCCGAAGCTCCAGGGGGAGTCCTTTTGGAAAAAGAGCCAAATCCCAAACCGAGAGGGTCTAGCACGCCAGGCACCCCTGCGATGAGTCGACAGCGGGCGGCGGTTCCAGTGGCCATCGGCCCATTCCGCCACCGTGCTTGGGTCGTGGTCGCGAGGCGTCTCGGGAAGGCCTCTTGTGAAGCCCCCGTCGGGTCTTTGTAGAGTATTCACAAAGTTCAACGGTGAGAATCCAGAGGGATTTGAGAGCATTGCACTTGGCGCAAACGGCGCGGTGGCGGATTCAGGCGTCGGAAGAGCACGAGCTGCCCGAACGCCTCCTCTGCGACCTCCTGGTCTCAGGTGTGAGCATCACCGAAAACTCTGTGCGGATTGCCGCTCGGGCCCCTGGGTAGTTGGGATCTCTGCATGCGGCGAACGGAATCACCGCGATCGACGTCTTACCCTTGCAGCACTGCTGCCTCCAGCGCTGGACAACGAGGGGACAGGGCACGGACAAGCGAAGTTGCCTGCGGATAGTGGGCTTCAACTGCGGCTTCTCGTGGGGGTGGGGAGTGAGCAGGGGTCTGGGTAACACGTCGATCGCCTAGCACCGGCGGCGCGCAGAAGAGGGTAGGGCGAGGGGGTGGCCTTCTTAGAAGGCTGGGGGGTTCTTAGGCTCTTGCCTTCTTGGAAGCCCCCCCTCCCTCGACCCACCCTCTTGGCGCGCCGTAGCAGCTTTCATCCCCAGGATTAGGCCCGAGAGTCAGTATTGTTGCCTCTTTCCTGTGTTTCGGCCGCCTCCTCGCTGGCCGTCCAGTAGCTGTGTAATTGTGTTGAAGTCTTCTATTGGCCGTGCGCCAGCCAGCCTGCTCTCTGTTGGCCCGCCCCGATGGGATCTTTTGCCACGGCGGTTTGGAGCTCGCCGCGTGGAAAAGAGTGTGCTCACATTGCAGGGCCCATTTTGGTCCGATCGATCCGGTTCGATACCCATTCTGGCTGGCCCGATCCGATTCGATTCCGATATTCCGACGATTTGATGCGGCCCGATGCTCGCGTGGCGCTGTTGTGATCCAGGCTCGGCCGATTCGACCCGATTACGACTCCGTGCCGATGCAGTCCGATCCGACGCATGCTCCGATCTGATCCGATGTCACGGTTCGATGCTGGCTGATCTTGCATTGGCCTTTCGTCCCAGGGCGTGGGGCTCCCGGGAGCGGCCTGCACCCTTCTGGCGGGCCGTGGTGTCGACTTCCCCAGAAAGTTCGCTTCTGTAGAGCCCTTTATAGCTTCACGAGCAGTGAACATCACAATGCCATGTACAAGCCGTGGAGAAGGGGACGATGCTGAGTTTTTTGGCCGCACGAGAATGCTGCGAGGTCCGTCACAATCTGGCTGTCCCTGGCCCGTGTGCTTGTGCAATACGTCCTCGTGTCATAGCACCACGCATCATAAACATGTTCGACGACGCCTACGGCGAATCACCGCCGCCCCCTGCCTTTTTGGAAGCGCCTGTGTGGCCGAAAGTTGAGTTAGAGCTTGGCCGAGCTATCGGACCATGTGTTACCCCAGCCGTCGTTGAAACCATTCGGGGAACACGTAAGGAGGAGGATAATGAGGAGAAGAAGGGAAAGTGAGGAGGAGAGGGAAGAGGAGGAGGAGGAAGAGGAGGAGGACTAGTATAAATCTAAGACTCATCAACAATGTTGGGATAAACCCTTGCTCCAAGCTCCCTCTTCAGATGTCCTAGACCCCTGCAAGTACTTCCACTGAGGGGACTGTCTCCTTGGGAGACAACCGTTTGAAGACCGTTGAGCGTGCCAACCATTCTCGGTACTCCAACGTCACGGATCAATCTGACTGTTGCGCCCTGACGATCCTGAATCGTTCCAGAGCACTATTTCTGGGACTCTGGCACCGCTAGTCAGTGTAATTGTTGCGCCCTCACAATCTCGAGTCCTTCCAAATTTATTTTGCTTCGAGCGATCCTCACCGACACCTTAAGCGTCTGTTCCCGACGGCGCGCGGTCGCCTATTTTGTGGAACGCAGCGCGCGGGGCCCTGTGGTCTCGGCCAGTGCGGCGGTCGGGCCGGGTGGCGAATTCCGTAGTCTCCAAATTCAACAACCCCAGAGTTCTTGATGAACGAAAATTAAAGAAACCCCGTCGCGAAAAGCAAGCTTCGAACACGTGCGGTGCGCAACGGCTAGAGAGCCGCAGGAAGAGCATCAGCAGGAGGAGGAGGAGGAGGCGGACGACGGAGGAGGAGGAAGAGGATGGAGGTGAGGCGGACCTCTCCTCCCTACTTTTCCTCCTCTTCCGTCTCCCTCCTCCTCCTCCTCCTCCCCCTCCTTCTTCTCCTTCTTTTTCTTATTTCGCAAGTCCTCGTCCTTCTCTTCGTCCTCCTTCTTCTTCTCTTACCTCCTCCCCGCTCTTCGACCTCGTTCTCGTCCTCTGCGTCCCTCCTCGTCCTCCCTCAGGCTATGTAATAGTATGCTCTGTTCCGTGACGCTGCCGACGGCTCAGCTCAGTATAGAATAGTCAGATTTGTTATTTTATTGTGTTTGCCATGTCCTGTTCAGTCGTGGTACTCATCTCCACTACTGCCGTTGCTGTATCCAAAAGTGTTCGACAATGTTCCATGTGGTAACGGTCTATCATGCTAGTTTCTGTTAAGTCCGGTCATGTCCTCGACGGGCCAGCGTGACGTCGTGACGCCTGGGTGACGCCGTGGAGTGGTGGCTACTGTATACGCAATGTTGTGCTGTAATGGGTTTGGTTGGATCCTGCCCCGATGTAGTATGTGATATTGTGCACTATCATGTTGTGATCTCGACGGGCCAGCGTGACGTCGCGACGCCTGTCACTTCCACAATGTCTCATGTAGTAATACTCTACCATGTGATGCTCTATTATGTCCTCTTATGTTCTCGACGGGCCTGCGTGACGTCGTGACGCCTGGGCGCTCGCCGTGGAGTGGTGGCTACTGCATTCGTGATGTTGTGCTATAGTGTGTGTGTGCGGTAGGATTTTGCCCCAATGTAATATGTGACGCTCTGTTCTGTGATGTTATGATATCGACGGGCTGGCGTGACGTGGTGACGCTTATTACGTTGAATACATCGTCGAATCGCTCATTGCTGTGACCATTGGCTCCTGTGGCCAAGCTGACCAAAACGTACGTACGGTATGTTATGTGGTGTCCCTGTGCCCTTCCGTTATCTCTTCCGTAAAAGTATGTTCTGTCAGTTTCGTTTTTGCGACAATATGCGTTGGTATGTTATGTTATGTTCTCCTTTGTGGCACCATGCTAGGACATGATATGTTTTGTCAGGTTATGTTATCCTATGCTCTGTTCCCTGATGCTTATGGTGGACCAGCTCAGTATAGTAAAGTATGATATGCGCTGGCAGTATGTTTTGCTATCCTGTTCTGTCGTGGTACTCCTCTCCACCACTGCACAACTGCCGTGTCTGGATCAAAAATGGTTCAACCGTGTTCCATACCATCACGTCCTATCATTCTATCATGTAATGTTTTAGTATGTCCTGTTGTGTTTTCGACGGGACGGCTGAAGTCGTGACGCTTGTGACGTTTGATGCGTCGTTTATTATGATATTCCTCTTCACTCCATATGCTTCTCTTCTGATTGCGAATGTCATGTTATGCTCATCTCTGTCACCATATGATTTGATATGTTTTGGTGTAGCCTGCACTGTGGCACTACGTTATGTCCTGATATGTTATGTCAGGTCATGCTCTAGTATGCTCTGTTACGTGATGCGGTTGACAACTCGGCCCAGTATAGTCTCTTATGCTCCGTGATGTTGTTGACAGCGAGGCTTACTATTATTTCGGTGTGCTATGTTGCGCACAACTATGTTCTCTTATAGTGTGCTCTGTCGTTTTCTGTTCTGCCATGGTCTGCTCTGGTATGTTGTGTGATGTTCTCTTTGATGACGGCTCGGCTCTGCATCGTGTAATGCGACTTGCTCTGCTAGTACGTGTCGCTATGGTCTGTTGCCGTGGTATGATATGTTAGGCGATGCTGTGTCATGATCTGATCTGTTCTGTCAAGGTGTGTTACGGTATGATCGGTCATAGTCTGTTGTGTACTGTTCTGTCGGCTTCGGTTCGGTCATTCTCTTCTCTGGTATTTCGTGTGATGTTCTGTTATGCTCGAGTTTGTCATGACATTGCTATGTTCTGTTCTGTCATGTTCTGTCGTGCTCGTGTTCTGTTCTGTCATGTTCTGGCGTGTCATGTTGTTATGTCGTGTTCGGCGTCTTTGCTCTGCTGTCGTGTTATGGTATGTTCTGTGATTCGGTGTCCTGATCTGATCTGTTCTGTAAAGGTGTGCTATGTTATGTTTGGTGATGTTATCGTATAGTGTGTATTGTCGTTTTCTGTTTTGCCATGTTCTGCTCTGGTATGTTTTTTGATGTTCTGTTGGTTAGCGGCTCGGCTCCTTGTAGTATATTCGTATCTGCTCTGCTAGTACGTGCCGCTATGCTTTGCTACCGTGTTCTGATATGTTCTGTGGTGCTGTGCCCTGATATGATATGTCCTGTCAATGTGTGCTATGATATGCTCTGTTATGTTATGTTGTGTAGTGCTATGTCGTCTTCGGTTCTGTCATGTTCTGCCCTGGTGTGTTCTGTTCTGTTACGACATTGCTATGTTCTGGTCTGTCATGTTATGTCATGCTGGTGTTTTGTTCTGTCATGTTCTTGTGTGTCATGTTGTGTTCTGTCGTGTTCGTGGTCGCGGTGCTCTGTTTCGGTGTTCGGACATGTTCTGTGATGCTGTATCATGATGTGATCTGTTTTGTCAAATGTTGTTATGTTATGCTCGGTTATGTTGTTTTATGTTGTGTTTTGTCGTGTCCGTCGAGGGCGCGAGGCGGGATCATCGGGATAACTTGGGGTCTGGCGGCCGCGGTATGCAGAGTGGGGTGGGCCGGGCGCGAGGCGGGACACTCGGGATACAAGAGACTTTCAGGACAACTTGGGGTCTGGCGGCCGCGGCATGCAGGGTGGGATTGGCCGCCTGGGGGGCGTGTTCTTGACATCTATCAGCCCCACCCTGTTGGTTGGGGAAAAGCAGTTCTGGTACGTTGATCATGTGATCCGTGGAACTCTTGTAAGTTTTTGTAGCAAATCTGCGTGGTGCTTAAGCGAGAGCCACATTTTGAAACGAGCAGCCCTCAATCCGTGAAGCTTTTGCATATTTTATAAACAATGTGCGCGGCGCTGAGGCGAGAGCCACATTTTGAACACGAACCGCCCTCAATCCGTGAAGCTCTTGCAAATTGTTATAACGAATGTGCGCGGCGCTCACGCGAGAGCCACATTTTGAAAACCGCTCGCCCTCAAATCGTGAAGCTCTTGCAATTGTTATTACACATGTGCGCGGCG